AGGCAAACACTTCTAAGAGGATGGATAGGCAAATCCTAGGGAGCGTCTGTATCCAAATACTAAACCGTCGCTCTTAGCTCTACTGATTCCACCAGAATATGCTTCTCCTTTTAAAGCTAAAACCTTTTACTAACCACATCCTTAGACAATGAAATTCGACCGGACAGACAGAAATAAAGGGAAGAGAACATTGTTTAACCAATAAATGCAATGGCCCTTTATCACCAGCCTAGACATCGTTAAAAAGAAATTAAATAATAAAAATAAAAAAAGATATTTCCATAAATAATTGTCCAATCTATATTTATCTGTCACTAAGCACCTGGATTGCAGAAAGAAAAAAAATATTAAGGATCTATTATCATTCGCTGACTACAATGATAAATAATAATTAAAAAAAATTTAGATATTAAATCTTATCGATGGTTGGAAGTCAGAAAATGTATTAAAGGAATGATCTCGTAAAGATGAATATGTTTTAACACTGGGATATTCCAGGGTATCGAACCAGTAGATCAAAATATTGTTGAGCTCGTAACTAGAATGGAGGACAACTAATATTACAAATAAATACCTTGTCAAAATGTTGGAAGAGCGCGTTTATAAATATTTTAGAAGCGAAAAGAGTTCAAACTGCACGGTCCGTCAAAAGATAATTTCTTTAGTACTGGGTAATACTTTAAATTTTAACAAAGATGGAGAGGATACGAGGGAAAAGGAAGAAGGAAAGAAAAAGGAAATATGCTTGAGATATAGAAGCTTTATTGATTCTTTTTAATGAAAGAAAAAAATGATCTAAGGTCAGTTCTTTATATATACATATTTATTATTACTTAATTTAGCAAGTATTAAAAATTTAACTACTTCGGTTGAAGAATATTCTCATGTTTGGTTAAAAATTTATCCAAGAATGAAATGACATTTGATATGACGTTTTAAAAAAAAAAACCTGATAAAATTTTTCAAAATTTCATTAAAAGTATCTTTTGGTCCTAGTTCCACAACACTTTTGTAATACAATATTTTTAAAATGTATTATTAATAAAATTTTTAAGTATATATAACAAAAAAATTTTTTAAATGTTCTTAGTGATGCTTACTTATATGGATAAGATCTGCAATGTTATCACACAACGTCACACCGCTAAAGATGATAAATGGTCCTGAAAACTTTGGTCTGTAGCAGTCCTACACATAAAAAGACCGGACTCAAATAACCGCAGTCCTCTACGGTCTTCTATTTATGTGATTAAAATTAAAAGACCGGCAGTTTTTTTGTAAAACTTCGGTCTTTTTTTAAAAACTGCGGTCTTCAAAAAGACCGATCAACATTATTTAATTAAGCTTAATAAATTAAGGTTTAAAGTAATATATATATGAAAGATCGACAATGGCTGAATTTCGTTACATTTTTTTTCTTTTTACAATGACCAAAATAAATGATGAAAGCAATTCTTCTTTGATAACAGTGGAAGTAAATGAAGCTGAGAGTGTTCCTTATGATACTTTTGTTGAAAATGAAGCTTTAAATATTGATACTAGTTTTGAAGATAATCTAATGTCAGAAGAGGGAGATGCAGCAACGGATGGGGGATCATCGGTTCATTCCACATCATCAACAATATGGAATTTTTTTACACGAAATGAAAAAATTGAAAATGATGAAAATGGAAATGAAATAATTGTAAAATATATTATTTGTGATGTTGGACAATGTCATCTTTCAGGAAAAAATTCTACATCTACTCTTGAACGTCATTTAAAAGCGCGGCATCCTGAAGAATTTATCATTTTACATCAGTTAAAATATGCTAAAAATTTGGAACCATGGTTACCTGAAGAACAAAAGAAAAAACATATATTTTTAGTTAATTGGGTAATTATTGATCAACAACCATTCACTCTTGTCGAGAATCAAAGCTTCAAAAAATTTATTATAAATTACCATCGCGATTTACTTTAAAAAATATGATATCAAAATTTGAAATAGGCCGAGTAGAAATTTGCAATTATCTTTAATTATTAACATCTAAAGTTTCACTCACAATGGATATGTGGACTTCAATTACAACATTAGGAATTTTAGCTATAACTATACATTTTATTAATGACAGTTGGCAATTTGAACATTTTGTTTTAGATGTTTTATATATTTCTTCACCACATGATGCACCAGCAATTAAAAATGCAATTTAGAAATAACAAATGAATTACAAGTAGCTGATAAATTAATTGGAATTACAACTGATAATGAAACAAAAATGATTGCAGCAACTCGTCAAATTAAAAGCAGCCTTGAATTACCAATTCTTTAGCATTATCGTTGTATGGCCCATGTATTAAATTTAATTGTTGGAGCAGCATTTGAAGCAAATGTAATACCTCTACCTGTTAAAAAATTACGTACTTTTATTAATATGATTAGAAATTCTCCCAAACAAATGAATAAGCTAAAGGAATATTTTAGAATTGAAAGTATAGATTTTAAAACACCTCTTCCTGATATTACAACTAGGTGGAACTTTACATATTTTATGATTGAAAGAGCCTCAGAAATTAAACCTCTTTTAGCATATTTAGTTTCAAGTTGTTTAACTTTAACTAATAATTGACCAACAGATGAAGAATGGATTATTCTTAATGATTTATTAACTTTATTAGCACCATTTGCATTAATGACTAAAGTTATATTTGCATCTAGTTACCCAACAATTGGTGAAGTAAAATGGCTTTTTTTAGGTCACGCATCATTTAGAAAAAATTCAAGATAATAATAATTTACAAGCTCAAGTATATGAAATGAAACGGGTCTTTGATATTTATTTTGATTATATTAATCAATCATTACATATTCCAGCATTTTTTGATCCAAGGTATAAAAAAACAGCTTATAGAAATATGTCCTGAGAAGATATACTTCAGCCAATTAGAACAGCAATGATTAATTATGAAGAATCAGACACCTTTTATATTTCTCAAAATACTATAGTGTCAGATTTATGATATCAACTTACTAAACTATCAACTTCAGAAACACAAGATTACTTTCGAAATTTTTTTATGCCAATTTCAAATCAGCAATCAGTTATGAATGAATTAGATATTTACTTCGATTATAATACTCCTGGCAATGAAGTAATCCCATTGGAATGGTGAAAAGTTCATGCAACTGAGTATCCATTATTGGCAAAGATGGCTCGGGACTATTTATCTATAATATCAACTTCTGTTCCTTGTGAGCAGTTTTTTTTCAATTGCTGGAAAGCAAATAACTTAAACAAGAAACCGTTTGCATCCAGATACAGCTCGAGCATGTTTATGTTTAAAATCATGGTTGAAGCAAAAAAGGTTGAATAGGTTAAAATTAGTTGTTTAAAGATTTAAATAATAATTTCTTTAGAAAATTTTAAATAAAGATATATTAGTATTATATCATTTTAATTTACTGTTGTAATATGTTAAAATATTTTTTTTTTATAAAAGACTGAATTACAAGACTGATGGTCCTTCTGATCGGACTTTATAAATTAAAACCGCAGTCTGGTTCCGTCTTTGTGTGAGATTGATAATACAAAGACTAAGATGGATGTATAGGACCAATTATCATCTTTACACACTGCAGACTAATTACATACTTTACATACTACTCAGAATTTTCACATTGATGTGTAACAGAAGGATTTCTTAGATAAGTTTTTTCTCTTACTCTTCTTTTCTTGTACTAGAACATTATTTTAATCAAGCTTAACATACGTTATGCTAACTATTACTCTTAACTGTTTGGTCGTTGGTAAAAACCCTTATAAAAATGCTTTTAGCATCATGACTAACTTGATAAAGGCAATTCGCAACTCAAATAAAACTATCAAGGAGAAGAAGGCATCTGAGTTTGATAATTTCGCTGCAGACAAACTCAAATTATGGAAGGTGGACATTTCCCTTGAAGAAAATGGAGAATTAATAGCCGCTAATACAAAAATCAACACTAATATAAAGGACGAACTTGGAGGTATAGAGCTTACTTCACTTTCGAAGATTAGTAAGCACTTCCCTTCTCAGCCAGCTATCGAGCACCTTCATATCATCTTATAGCGTCCTGTTGAAGTTAAAGATATACATTGTATAGGAGGCAAAGGTAGGTGTTTAAAGTTTTCGACAGAAACACATTATATAATTTTTGATACATTTTACAAAGGCTAAATTCTTATAACTTCATATAGCCACAACAACTACCATCCCCTTAACAAGGCTAAACGTCAGCTCTTTGAGACTCAATATGTTCGTAAATATCTCGCTAATAACGATTTGAAAGTAAATATTTTTTATGTTTATTTCAATTACTCTATCTTAAAGGAAGGCGTAAAAGTTCTTTATGAAACATTAGAGACTCTAAGAGATGATTCAGAACTTGGTAATCTTGCAAGAAGAATATTAGGAAGGGATGCATTCTTTAAGAGTGATTTATTTTCAGCGAAAAAAGAGAAAGGATGATGTGTTGTTAGGTATAGAGACGACATTAAGTATGGCGAACGAAAGGATTGTTTTAGCAAATGAAATTGCACATAAAAATTTCTTGACTGTTTGAGAGAAATAGAAAGACTTTCAGATGAAAAAGACTATGAAGAACTTAAGGTTGAGAATGAACTTTAGCAAGAAAAATTCTCATCAAAATTTTCTGTTGTAGTTGAATGTGACAACGCCTAAACAAAAAGCTGGCCACACTATCTTGATAAACTTCCTATCTATGCTGAATACTTATTTATGAAGGAGGACTGGATAATTAATGGTGTAATCTTAAGCAATAATTTGAAAGAAACTGGATTTGTCTTGAAATGTTTTCGTAATCAAGTTTTCTTTATAATAGGATTCGTTAACATATTTTTAAATTTTGTTTAGTATAATTAGACATAGCCACTTCAATTTTTCAGACACAGAGTGTACATCTCAGATAAGCGATAAACACTAGGAATATGTCTTGGTCCCATTTTTGACGCAGCACAAGTTGAAAAATACGCTTTTCACTGAAAATGATGAAAAAATGCTATTGGAAATATTCGGTGAGGAAAATAAGAAAAAGCTCTTAGAGCAAGGAAACTTAAAATTGGTAGACAGCTTGTGTGATACTGAAGAGGATGCCACAAAGTCCTTGAAATGGTGAAGCGGATACTATTGGTTTTATATATTAAAGAATTTTCTGATTGTCAGACCCTCAAATCACTGGAGATGAAATAGGCAAAATCTATCCCTTCTGACATTTTAGATAAACAGTTGCGAAACATTTTGTGGGCAACTGAGCTAATAAAATGGGTGTAAGTGTGTAAAATCGTCTGATTGGAATAATTAAATTATTGTTTCTTCAGGATAATAAACTATTATTCAAATTAAACATCATTCCAGATAAATGATAAAAAGTCATAGAAATAGAATGATAAATCATCATCTCTTAAGGAATGATACAAATCATTCAATAAAAAATTAAACAATATAAAATTATCTAATTAGCTTAAACAATATTAATAATTATGAATAAATTTTAGATTAATTAAAATTTCTATTATAAAACAAATAAACATTTAGATTAATCTAAAAAAAATTCTTTTTTTAACCTTTTTTTTTTCTTTTTTTTTGTATTTTTTCTCATCTTAGAAGATTTTTGCCACTTTTCTTTTTTTTTTAAAAAAATTCTTATTTTGAAAATATGATAAGTTATTCTTTAAATAAAAATTTACTATTCTTATTTTTTTTCTCACTTTTTAAGAAAGTTCTCATTTTGAAAATAAGATAAGTAAATAAGAATTAAGTTTTTTTGTAGATTTTTCTTTCTTTTTCTTGTTTTTATAGAAATATTCTCATTGAATAAAATAAACAAATTATTCTTTAATTAAAAAATTTTGTAATTTATTTATAATAAATTTTTTCCAAACAAAATTATTATATTTTAAAATCAATACCTATAATTCCTGTTTTACATGTGATTACATTAGATTAATTAGCGTATTAAATACTTTATAGCAATATTCATTACAAATATTACATAATCCAGTTTTTTAGATAGATTTTTATTTCTTTTTTCTTTTTTGGAAAATTATCATCTTAAAATTAAGATAAGCAAATTATTTGTGAATTTTTTGATGAAAATTTACTATTTCTTTTTTTTTATTTTTTTTAAAAAATTTCTCATTTTGGGATTAGATAAGCAAATTAAAGATGACTTTTTTGATGAAAATTTACCATTTTCTTTTTTTTTATTCTTTTTAGAAAATTGCTTATCTTAGAATTAAGATAAGCAAATAAGAGATAACTTTTTGAATGAAAATTTACTATTTTTTTTTCTTCTTTTTTTTTTATTAGGAAATTTCTCATTTGAAATTAAAATAAGCAAATCAGAGATAACATTTGAATGATAATTTATTTTTTCCTATTTTTTTTCTTATTTTTTTTTTAGAAATGTATAATGATAAGTCAATCTAAGTTGGAATTTTTGACTCATTCCTTTATTTTATATTATTTTTTATATATATTGTAAAGTATTTCTTTTTAGGAATTTGAATTTAACAATTATGTAAAATAATAAAAATATAAATTTAATAAATTTAAATAAATTTAAATTTGTTAAATTAGTTTTGATTTGCAATTTATAGTTGATTTTAGATTGAATTAAGTTGATTTTAGCAAATTATATCTGATTTATATCTGTTTTATAGTTGATTTGTAATTGAATTATTATTGAATTATGGTTAATTTTAAGTGGTTAAATTAAGTTGATTTTTAGCTGAATTGTATTTGAATTATTATGTCTAAATTGTTCCTATTGATGTGAAATTATGTCAATAGGAATTAAATCAAATTTATTACAATTCAATCATAATTTAAACACAATTCACTTAAATTTAGATATAATTCAAACATCTGATTGTTTAGCTGAATTGTATTATTTTGATCAATCTTTATAACCTAAAATGTCAGATGTTAATGATACGTACTGTTCTTATAGAAAACTCATATATATAGCTAATAATAAAAAAATTTACAAATACCTAACTTTTGCATATATATTTCTGATTCCTAATATAGGATGATTGGATTAAAGATCTTAAAGAAATTATTGATAATTTGAATTATTACTCAAATGAAATTTCTGAGACAGACATAAAAAAGGTATAAAAGAGAAAAATAAAAAGATTTGTCTGCCTAGAAAAAAACTTCCAGTTATATAATTTGTATATATGATATTCTTAAAGTATAAGTATAAATATTGAATGTCTTAATTTGTATTATATTTTACTCATTATTTGATAAATTTTTAATAGATCTGAAATATCTTACATTATGCAAATGAAATAAGAGAAAAAATCCAGAATATAAAAGTAAAGAAGAAAAAGCTAATACAATAATAAGATAATTCAATACCATCTTTCAATACTTTGAAATAAGCTATTACATTATCATATAAGTAAATTATTTGTTTTTAAACAATTAATTGTTTATTTATATTATATGAATATTTTTTTTTTAAAAAAATAAAACATTTTGAAATAGTATTTTCAACATTATTATATATAACTTATTGAATAGGACTTTATTTGTTTAATATAATAATATGCTATTTGTAAAATAAATAATTAATTAATTAAATGTAATTTTATTATTATAAGATACATTTTAATTTTAATTATAAAAAAATAAAATAAATATCAATACAAATAAAGGTAATTATTATACTTTAATGGTGAAAAATCGGTAATTGATCATGAATAAATCAATGAATTAATAGTATGCTTATATTTTTCTGAAAATCATAATAAATTAACTTAATATTTAATAAACTAAAAGTCATATGATTAAACTAGATATTTTTCATTGTTTAGTTTAAAATCATATAGATTAATTAGATTTCTTTTATGGAAAATTAGTAATAAATCATAGGACTATTGAGTATATAAAATTTATCTAATAATTTTTTATTTGACTAGTATAAAATGCATTATTTTTAGATGATTATTAATATGAAAATTCATTTATGAAATCATTTGAATTATAGTAAGATTATCCTTATTCTAAAAAAACTTAATAATTTAATTAATCTAACAGTCATTTTTCATTTGGATTTTTTTAACAATTTGTGATACAATTCTAATAAAGTTAAATTAAAAAAGGAAGAATAAAGAATTAAAAAAGAAAATTATTACTTTTTTGATATTGAAATACAATTTCCTTTTAGAACTTTGTCATTAAGTTATCATTCAAAACAGCAGCTAATACTTAATAAACTATGTGATCTTACTGGATGCATGGATCTATTGTGAAATAATAACCAGATATTAATTTGTAGATATAGGTATCACAAAACTTATTTTTGAATTTTAGGTTTGCATTTCTTGCATTATTTTAATTACCTTTCTAATACAATTAATAAGTTATTGCAGTCTTATAATTAAAGATTAAAAATGAATGATAATATTGATAATAGAGAATTCTGAAATGCAAAATTATTATGATGAAGAACTAAATTATGCTAAAATTGTATCAAAACAAATTAGAATTGATACAAAATTAAAAAAACGAATTTCTGGTAAGTTAATTAATTCTTTATCTAGTTCTAATTTAATCTTATAATTGTTATAAATTTTTAATAGAATTTTAATTTGTTAAAAATTGTGTTATCAACTTTTAGTTTAAAACTGAATATATTACAAATGTGTATTTTTAAAAGATTTTAAAAGTTTTTGAAGGATTTAATACTAGTTCTATAGATTTAACTTTATTAATTAGGCTTTATATTATAACTTTAATTAAAAATATTTTTAATTTTTATATTTTTTTTAACTGTATAAAAGTTGTATTACAATAAATTTTATTGGTAGATCAATTGTTGATTATTCAATTTTTTTTACGTAAATAACCAATTTTGATCAAACAATTAATGAATTTTTAACTATACTATAAATATCTTAATTAATATAATAGAAATATTAAGACCTTTAATTCTTAGCAGTTTAATTAATATTTAATTAAATACTAATGATACTACATCTGCTGAATTTTCTTTAGTTAATATTCAAAAAAAATGGCTTAACTTTAATAATTATTTAATAATATAACTTTTAAATTTTAAATATGTAAAATTTTATTTGTGATATAAATAATTAATAAAATAATAATTATTATCATATTATATTATAATGATCTATATTTGATATTTTCACAGTTTTTAAAATATTATTATGAAAAATCATGGGTAACTATTAGTAAACATAGGATAAAATTATATATTATATTATTAAATATTAATAATTATAATATAATAGTTGGTAATTTATTTTTATTAATAATTTGCATTTTTAATTACAATTTTTATTATAAAGTAATTTAAATTAACTAATTATTTTTTAAAAAAATTAAATAATTAATATTTAATAGTTGATATATTATTTTATTTATTCTTAATATTTTATTGTATTTTTTAATTTAATTATATTTTTTACTATAATTCAGACTCTTTATATTAAATAAAATATTTTAACAATTTATAATAATAGATAATAAGTGATTTTATTAATTATTAGTATATATTTATTATAATTTAAACTTACTAAATTTTTTATTTAAAAAATATTTAATATATCAAATAATAAGTTATTTTTATTATTTATTAATAAATAATAATACTTTTGTATTTTATTAAATACAATAAATTTGATATAATTAAGAGGTAAGTTATTTTTATTTATATTAGTATTCAATTTACTTTACTAATGTTAATATTATTTAAATTTAATTAAATTTTTATTTTAAAAATTTTTATTAATTATTAATAAATAATAGAAAGTAAATGTATTAATTATTAATATTAATTATATATTTATTTTAATGTAATTTAATTTATGTAAAATTTTTATTTAAAAATTAATTAATATAAAATAGTTGGTAATTTATTTTAATTAATTATTAGTATAGTATTTAATTAAACTTTTTATATAATATAATTTAAATTTAATTTAAAAAAATATGATTTATTTAGAAAGTAAATAATTTATAATATTTGTATATTTTAGGATTTTGAATAGCTTTAAAATAGGTTATAAATACAAGTTGACCTTTTTTAAAAGACTAAAAATTAGTTTTATATGAATATTTTATAATTAAATATTTAATTTTAATATTTAATAATCACTATAAAAATAGTTTCAATTTAATCAATAATTATTAAGATAATTATAAAAATCAATTTTGTTTTAGGGAAATGACAGATATTATGTCATTATATATTAATATAGAATCCCACCCCTTGTGAGATTTATTATTCACATGATTATATTAAATAAATTCAACCAATAAATATCAAGTATTATCTTGTAATACAATAGGGATAAACCAGTTTCAAACCAAATAATTAATTCAACCAAATTTTTAGCTGTAGTTTTGACCATATAGTAAATCAAATTATAATTATTTAATAAATTTCTATAAGGATTAATTAGTGTTGAATCTCAGATTAATTAGTATTGAATCTAGTGTTAATCAGTGTTGAATTAGTAGTAATTAATTTGTTGATTCAATTTATTTAATTTCTATAATTCAAATTTGAAATTGCTGAAAATTTTAATTGCAAAAATTGCGTAAATTTTGAAATTGCTGAAAATTTTAATTGCAAAAATTGTGTAAATTTTGAAATTGCTAAAAAATTAGATCATTTATTTGACTTTTGCATAAAAATTAGATATTTTGCCAACTCATTGAATACATTGATCGCTGACATGTTTCAATATAATTTTATATAAGGAAAGTTTTATCGCGTTTTTATTTCTGTAATTGTTCAATTTTTTACATTGACAATTTTTAAATTTTTTTCAAATAATAATTTTAAAATTTCAAAAATGCCTGTCACTATTGAATAGTCCGATGAAGAAATGCAACTTTTGATTGAATTAAGGAGGAAAAGGAATGATAATTACTGGAGAAGGTTTGGAAGATCACAAATCTCAAATGTGTATCAGGTTACGCTGAATCATGTGACTCACCACATATCTACGCCACAATTAATAATCAATCCAATCAGATAATTGCTTATTTCAACTAATCAAAAATAGAAATTTGAGACGCGTAGCAATGACGCGCATAATCATATGAAATCTAATAAATCTTACCATTTTTTTTTTGAATTTCCCATACTCAACCTTTCGCTTTGCATTTTGTCTTGCGTCTTTACCTTTTTTGCTCATTTTGCTCTTAGACTTGAAAGTATGGCAAGACCACTTATTTTTACAAAGTATTAATTCGAAATTAGAATTAATAAAAATCTATTAAATAAAAATTTATTAAATATTCTTATATACAGCTTAGTTATAAAGCAACCACAATTTTATATACTGAACTTTAGAGAAATTTGAAAATTTGGGCTTATTTTTAATATTATTTTAAGCACGGTTATAAGCATCATTTTCACCACTACTTTCACCACCATTTTCACCACCATTTTTATCACCGCTTTCACCACCATTTTCACCACCATTTTCATTACCGCTTTTACTACCACTTTCACCACTGCCTTTACCATCATTTTCGATATGGATATTACTACAAAAAATGTAAATTTCAGCCTTTTATATGTATAATATTTAAATTCTTAAATCCATCTTTTAAAAAGAAAAAAAAATAAACTTTTAGGTTTTTGTTTGGAACTCCCTACCTGAACTTTTAAAGAGAACACTTTCTCAAAATTACACATATTTAATCGATAATTTAAGGAATTATCACCATACCAAACAAATGAGAATTTTATAATTCCACACTTCAAACTAGATGCTTTTGTAAATATTGATAATAAAGAAGCAGCATGTAAATGGTTTACGGAATTTCAATTTTCTTCAAAAACAACAATGCCAGAAACTAGAAGATATACAATTACGGGAAATCAGATACTTTTTCGAGAGATGTGTCACTGTATTCATAGCAGTGAAGTAAAGAAAAAACAAGGCCAACGTGAAACAAAACATCCACAATCATCTCGGGCACGAAATATAGGTTGTACCGCAACTGTTCATCTTTGATTGAAGCATTAGCGACTTCCAGAAACTCATCCTTTAGAAATCAATATAATCTATACACATAATCATGTTGTTAATTCGGCAGAATCACTAAGCTTTCAATCTGTTAAAAAAGAAACTTGTGAAAAGTTTTTAGAATTGTTTAAAGACGAACATTCTCCTTCATCTGCATTATATGCTCATGAGGATGAACTTTATCTTAGTGCTGTAAATGAACAGGAATTGTTGGAATTACTTGCGGATAGGGCTTTTAATCTGGATTATGGTTATGTTTTTAATCTTTCCAGCAATACCGTGAAACTACACTTGGCGGTCATAACGGTAAACTAATGTTTGAACGTTTAGCGAAAGTTGTCAAAGATTACAATAATTCGGATCGAGGCAGGGCAGTTTTACAAGAATATGATATGAATAGTGGAAAGGCATTTATTTTATGCATTGTCACTAATTTAATGTGTTGAGTACATGAAAAAATACAACAGGCAGGCGAGTTATGTTATATGGATGCATCATCTTCATTCAAACCTCTTAATACTTCAATTACTCTCTTCTATACTAGTTGTGCAGGTATCAATTATATTTTTTACATTTGACTTAAAAAGAAATTGAGAGTAGTCTGATATAGTTAATTATAGTTGAAAAAACAATAAGTTTATTTAGAATTCGGAAAGGGAATTTATAAGAAATAGTATATGTAGTGAATTTTACTTATACCAAATTTTTTATTATAGTTAATAGTTTCATTTTTATTTTATAATTATTATAAAGATTTATTACCAGTTACTAAATAATATATTTAATTATTATAACACCTTATCTTTTTTAATAGTTGGAGCTTTTTCACTCAGATTATTTATCATCTCAGATGAGCTTGAAATCACGTTAGAAAAGGCGATCAATTTACTAAAAACAATTCTTCTGCCATATGCCTTCTTTGGACGCGGGCCACAGGTTGGTCCAATGGTTTTTTTAACAGACGATTTGAGTGCTGAGCGTAACTCTTTAGAGTTATGTTGGCCGCAAGGTAATATTCTTATTAGTATTTGGTTAATTCCTAAATAAAAACTTTATCTAATTCAAATTGAATTATAACTTACCAAAAGGGATTCAACTTTTATGCACATTTCATGTTTTACAAGCCTTTTGGAGGTGGATTCATGATTTAAAGTATAATATTAACAAGGAGAATCAGATGCCTATAATGGAGAAAATAAAAAAGATATTCTACGCACCTTCCAGTTCAGAAATGGTTATATATT